TAGTTTCATCAGTCCACAGCACCTTATTCCAAAATGAAGCTGGCTTGTCCAAATGTGCTTTAGCATACTTCAAGTGACTCTTTTTGTGGCATGGGCGCAGAAAAGGTTTCTGCCGCATTACTCTCCCATACAGCATGTCCTTGTGCAAAGTGCGCTGAATAGTTGAACGATGCACAGTGACACCATCTGCAGCAAGATCATGTTGTAGGTCTTTGGAGCTGGTCTGTGGGTTGAGTTTGACTGTTCTCACCATCCTTCGCCTCTGCTTATCTGAGATTTTTCTTGGCCTGCCACTACGGGCCTTAACTAGAACTGTGCCTGTGGTCTTCCATTTCCTCACTATGTTCCTCACAGTGGAAACTGACAGCTGAAATCTCTGAGCTAGCTTTTTGTATCCTTCCCCTAAACCATGATGTTGAACAATCTTTGTTTTCAGGTCATTTGACAGTTGTTTTGAGGCTCCCATGTTGCCAGTCTTCAGAGAAGATGCAAAGGGGAGAACAACTTGCAACTGGCCACCTTAAATACCCTTTCTCATGATTGGCTTCACCTGTGTATGTAGGTCAAGGGTCAATGAGCTTACCAAACAAATTTTGTGTTCCAATAATTAGTGCTAAAGGTATTCAAATCAATAAAACAACAAGGGTGCCCAAATTTATGCACCTGCCTACTTTTGTTTAAGTAATTATTGCACACTTTCTGTAAATCCTATAAACTTCATTTTACTTCTTAAATAGCATTGTGTTTGCCATATGATTGAAATAATTGATTGAACAAATATGATTAAATAATTGAAATTGCTGTTCCGAACAACCAATGATACATAAAGGAAAATCTTGAAAATGATCAGGGGTGCACAAAAGTTTTCATACCACTGTATGTATATTCCTTAACTTACCTTTGTTTGTTTTCTAATGTTTTTTTATACCTGCAAGAGTGTGTGTTTTCTCTACTTTGTGTGTGCATTCTATATTTTCTCTACTGTTTGCAAATGTTCATCACTGGGAAATGACGACAGTGGTTGGTGGCAATGCAATTCCAGAAAAAGAAATTAGGGGTTGGTGGGAGGGATGTACTATTATAAGTATTACATTTCATGTAATTGGAAGTTTTCTAGCATGTTACTTAACTCATGAACCACTCGCATTCCAATTGTAGTTTTAACCTCTGCTGGTTAAACAGGGGGATCTAGGGCTGGCCTTTAAATTACTAATTTGCCATTTAATGCTTTTGTTGTAGAGGCTACGTTTCAAAATGAATAACCACATGCTCTGTTATTCTCTCCTTTTTCATTTTTTTTCTGTCTGACTTCTTAGCCTTTAACCAAAATGATCCATAGTGTCTTCCTAATAAATGCTTCAGGAGACATATTCCTGGAAAAGCACTGGAAGAGTGTAGTCAGCCGCTCAGTGTGTGACTACTTCTTTGAGGCGCAAGAACGGGCCACAGAACCAGAGAATGTCCCACCTGTGATCCCCACACCACATCACTACCTGATCAGCGTGCTCAGGCATCGCATCTTCTTTGTGGCAGTCATCCAGAGCGAGGTGCCTCCACTCTTTGTCATCGAGTTCCTGCACAGAGTTGTTGACACATTCCAGGTTATGACATAACATCATTTTTGTCCAGTGGGTTAATGTTTTTATGACTCAGTTTGACTCAACACTGTCTGTGATCTCAGGACTATTTTGGTGTGTGTACAGAAGCTGCCATCAAAGACAATGTGGTGGTGGTCTATGAGCTGCTGGAGGAGATGCTGGACAATGGCTTTCCACTGGCCACAGAGTCCAACATCCTCAAAGAGCTTATTAAACCCCCAACAATCCTTCGAACAATGGTCAACACCATCACAGGTACAACCCAGGTTAACCACTGTCAACTGTGAGAGGTTGTTAGGACTATCCTGTTTTATTTAAACTTAAACATTGCTAGTCATATGTAGTTACTGTGTCCTCCAACAGAGGGCCCTTTAAGAAAGCTTGACTTTAGATGCCCTTGTTACCCATCAGCGAAAAAAGGCAATTGACTGTTGGTAAGCAAGCTAAACTAGGCAAGAGGAATGTAACAATGTTGCTCACAGTTTTATCTAACACTTTACCAATAGCATAGAAAAAGACAGTTACTAAGTCTATTTACAATGTTCAAGCCACTATAGAATTGTATGTTGTGTTTTTAGGTAATATATTCTCATCTACTCCATTTTTTGTTTTCCAGGAAGCACCAATGTGGGTGAGCAGCTTCCCACAGGCCAGTTATCAGTTGTGCCATGGCGTCGCACAGGTGTGAAATACACCAACAATGAAGCCTATTTTGATGTAGTAGAGGAGATTGATGCCATCATTGACAAATCAGGCAGGACTTTGCACTAAATTCTAAGATCATGAGTCCCAACTTTCATGTTAGTGTTTACAATCTTTTAAATTATTCTGTGTGCATGTGTTGTTTTTCCATCAGGCTCCACAATCACAGCAGAAATCCAGGGGGTGATTGATGCCTGTGTAAAACTGACCGGCATGCCAGACCTCACACTGTCATTTATGGTGAGTCTGAAACTAAAAACCTGAATCAGCTACCACTGTGATCTTTTGCTTCAGCGTAGCTGAACAGTGGATTAATACATTGAAAGTGTTATGGATCAACTGTAAAATGCATTAAAACACAAATGCATTTTGCATATTCACTTTTTCAGACCAATAAAAATACAGAATGGGTAAATGCACGTTGTCTTACCTGCAGCCAAATGGTTTCTCTCTTCCTCTCCCAGAATCCTCGGCTACTGGATGATGTCAGTTTCCATCCCTGTGTGAGGTTCAAGCGATGGGAGGCTGAGAGGATCCTCTCCTTCATCCCACCAGATGGAAATTTCCGGTTGCTCTCCTATCACGTCAGCTCCCAGAAGTCTGTTTTTAAAAAATGATAATGATAATCAATTACAAAATAGAATCAAACTACTACTAGTGCTACTACTGCTACGTCTACTACAAACTACTATTTCTTCTGATTTCCAGCTTAGTGGCAATTCCGGTGTATGTCAAACACAACATTTCCTTCCGTGAGGGAAGCTTCCAGGGACATTTTGACTTGACTCTGTGGCCCAAACAGACCATGGGCAAAGCTGTTGAGTCAGTTCTAGTCAGCAGTCAGCTACCAAGGGGCGTCCTCAACACCAACCTCAGTGCCTCACAGGGAATATATACGTTTGACCCGGTCACAAAGGTACGTTGAAATGCAGTCTAAGCAGGTTTACATTCTGGCATGGTAATTCTGTTAATAAGCACTACATGAGGAAAATTATAAGTAGACCTGGCTAATTTTTTTACTGCATATCCCTGCAATACACAAAAACAATTTACACAATGTAAAATTGTGCAAATGAAAGATTAAAGTCCTAACAATCTTTTTTTACACACTGCCTGGTCCAGAGTGGTTTTCATAACTTCTTCATCAGACAGTGTATTGGTAGTTTAAGCACCTCACTGTCTTCACTAGTGTCTTGAAATCCTACATTGGAGAAAAACTTTTTTTTCTAGTTGTTGTCATGGGATGTTGGCAAGATCAACCCACAGAAGCTTCCGAGTCTGAAGGGAACTATGAGTCTACAGGCTGGAGCATCCAAACCAGATGAGAACCCAACCATCAACATCCAGTTTAAGATCCAGCAGATGGCCATCTCAGGTACGCACCTCTATATTTTGCAAAATATCTCATTGTTGCACCTGTATAATGATACATATTGTATGGCCAGATTCTTGCCAATACACACCTCTAACATTTACCAATAAAACCATCACGTGTTTTATTAACTTTCAAAACCCGAGTGAAAAATATCCAAATATTAAAAGCATGAAAGCCCAAAAATGTTTTAAAGAAATGGTTAAAACTGCTTGTCAGGAAACTTTCTCTGTTATATAAGACTGTAAAATATGCTGTTAGTTCATACCCCAGTTTCCTAACACACAAAGAATCAAATAAAGAATCAAATACGAGATCTCAAAGTTTTAAAAGTTTTACTTGCAGCAAGGAGTGCAGAACAATGGTTACATTCAGAACTGCACTGAGGAACACCTCAGTGCTCAAAGCTTAAATACAGTTTTTTTTTTTACACACACACACTTCAATGGTCAGTACCTTGGCATTCCACGGCCATGCGGTGTTCACTCGCCACTTCTGAGCACTGATTGGCAAAGACTGCTCCAAACAAAAATTCTCCACCAATAGGAGCCATGTGCATGTGCTGCAGTTAATCAAGTCAGATAAGACCATGCAGTTCGGATGTTTTTCTCTCTTTGTCTTTTGTTGGTCTTTTGTCGGTCTCCTTATTTGGGCAAAGAAACCAGTTCTATCCGGTTCTGTCCTTTCTCTATCTCCAAGTGTAACAGTCAGTAGCATTCAGTGCTGTCCATATCATCCTGTTATGTAAACCATCAGCATGCACACCTTTCTTCAGCACTTTTCCCTTTAGTACAGCATAACATAAACATTCAATAATAGTATAAATTGATATGGAAACTTAACATAATGAATATGTTGTAAAGATTGAATAAATGTATTTACAACATCGTAACACTGCTAAAACGTAGCCAATAAATTTAAGAAATGTTTTCTCAGCATTGGCTGAAATTGTTAACTGTGAGAACTGTGAGTTATCTGGAGGAAAAAAAAACTTTTTTGATGAATGTTTCAGTTTGAATCCCTCGTGACATTTCATCTTTACTGTCATAAAGATCTCTTTGTCAAACACAAACACACACACAAAACAAATACAGTAGAGATTATAATATCCTGCTCAGCTGACAACCACCTGACTCTAGAATTCTGCGAGCGGTTTCAAATGACAGCCACAAGATAGTGCCAAAGCCTGTAAACTTGCTTCTGATGCCTGATTTCAGAGAGTTTTTAAATAAGGTTTTATTATTAAAATGATTGATTTCAGATGGGTGGTGGTTTAAGTTATTAGTTAGCCTTAACTTAATACACTATTTTTGATATTAAAGGATAAAAAATTATTATTATATTTAGTGTTATCTTTATCATCATTAGTGATGCACTAATACACCCATGACACCTAAGAAAAAGGGTGAGTGTAAGATTCATTCGAGCAAAAGCATTTTAAGAGTATATTTATACTTGCTCAGCGCAAGTGAATGATAATAAGTATGTTGTTTTTGTTATTAATTTGAGTCCAAATCAGAATTCAAAAATCTGAATTAAATTCATTTCACAACCTTTCAACAGTTTGTAGTTTGTCTTATCATGTTGCTAAATGGAGTCTTTTTTAAACAGGTCTAAAGGTGAATCGACTGGACATGTATGGTGAGAAATATAAACCTTTCAAAGGCATCAAGTACATGACAAAGGCTGGAAAGTTCCAGGTCCGGACATAAAGGCTTCTTCTCTGTGACTACTGGACCAAACCACCATGAGACAGAGGCAGTTAATGATGTGGTGGAGAAATGACGAAAGAAAGAGTTTTTACATTTCCTGTATACATGCATTTCCAGGATT